CTTCTGCCCTCTTCCCGCTGCCCTGCCCTGCGAGGCTCGTCCCTCCACACATGGCTTCCTGTGCTCTACCCAGATAACAGCATCTCCCTAAAATCCTTTTTGATAAATAATCCTTTTGACAAATAATCAACTCCAGGTCTGGACCCATATCATCATCATGAAAGAATGCAGAACCTGAGAAAATTTTGAGCTGTTTTCCTAATGCCCACAGGTGGGCAGAGGAAGTCTTTTTACTTAAGAGGACCTACTGTTTCCAGGTGCTCACTTAGGGGTCCTGGCAAGATAACTGGGGTCATAACCGTAAGTCACTCTGCTGTTGTCATTAAAGCAGGGCTCAATGCTCTCCACAGGGCAGTGCTTGCTGACTTGTATTTGTAATCGATAGATGCTCTAATTCCTGCTCATTACTAATTCTTTGCTTACCCAATTAATCCAAATCTGTGAGGCTTAATTTGGAGGAAAGCGTGCTAAACTCAGGTCCTAATAGAAACTCTGCCCGCAGGCTCACAGCTGGTTGCTCTAGGCCAAGATGAGTCCTGGGTGGAATGAGGCGAGTGCTGGACAGCTCCTGAAGCCCTCTCTTTCCTGGTATCATGGAAACAGGATGAAGGGCAGGGATGAGTCTGGGAGAGTGGCAGGGGAAAAGTTTGCTGAACCTACTGACTTTTTCTTTTTTCTTTTTTAAATCAGGAATTATTAGCCGAGAAGATGCAGAAGATCTCCTCGAGAACATGACAGAGGGAGCATTTTTGGTCCGGGTCAGTGAGAAAATCTGGGGTTACACCCTCTCCTATCGCCTGCAGAAAGGGTTCAAACACTTTCTTGTGGATGCCTCTGCAGACTTTTACAGCTTCCTGGGAGTGGACCCCAATCGCCATGCAACGCTCACGGATCTCATTGATTTCCACAAGGTATCCTTCAGAGGCATGCTGGTCAGGAGCTAGAACTGGTAGAAACGTGAGGTGAAGGAGTGCCAGGTTGCAGGTGTTCCAAGAGACGGGGTGGAGAAGGAGCAGGTAGCCCCGCAGGTCCATAGGATCACAGGGATGTGTGGAAGGGTGGAAGAGAGTAGAGATTGTCTAGATAGGCTCTGGGGTCTGCTCTTCTTCTCTCTGGCTTCCTCTCTGACTAAGGCAAGCACCTCCAGCCCTGGTCCCTAAGCTTCTCCTCACCTCAAGTCTCTGAGTGCTCCCTACTGCTAACACTTAGGGACTAGCTGACCCATCTTCTGCCCAACCGCACAGCCCACCTGCAACTCGTCCCCAGGATGTCCTGCTTGAGGACATTCTAGTCAGGCCTCTGGCAACTTTGTAGAATTAGCTGAAAATTAGCCATCAACCCTGTGGCTTGAGAAGCTTTTCTAGTAGAGTTACCCCATCTCTTGTTCCAACTACAAGGATAGGTACATATGTGGTACGTGTGTGACTTTGGGCAGGTTCCTTAGTCTCACTGAACTTTACCATCCTAACCAGGCAAATGGATGTAAATAATAGTTCAGATCCCAGACCGATAAATGAGGCAATGTCCGTAACAATACTCTGTAACTGTGAAGTGGTGTGGAAGTTCTTGTTTTCCAGAACTCTCTTTGTCATTTGTCCCCCTACTGTAGACATCTCATGAGGAAAGATGGTGCCTTCCAAACTATGTATGTAGACAGAAGCAACTTTTGTTGCTGTTTTGTGTTTCTTTTGTTTTGTTGCTTCTTTTGTGACTGTCAGCATAGTAGTAACTGGGAGAAAGCCAAAGGTGGAACTCAGTGAGTCACAAGGGCGAGAGAGAGATGCCTAGAAACAGAGTCTTGGTCGCTCTCCATCTTCCTGAGCTTTGCAGCTGTAGCGAGGGTCACAGAATTCCTGGACTGTCTCACTGGGTTTTTGCGCTGTGATAGGGACTCTTGGATTGTTTTGCTTTTTCTTCATGGATGTCCCCAGGCCTCTATGGACAGCTCTTGACTTGACCTTCTAAGTAAAGCACATAGAAAATGACCCATTTACAAATGTCTAGATGTTGGGTGGATAGGACTCCTGGAAAACTGGACTAACCAGGTTTAGGGCAGATTTCTACCCATGTTGGGAAGAGCTTTTCTAACAACTCTAGGGAGTTATTATCCACACACACCCTCCCTGTAGAGACAGGGAGGGTGTGTGTGGATAATAACACCTTCTCTGTGTCAGGCATCATGCCCGCTGCTGTCCATCCATGTTCTTCCTTCCTCTTCATGACAGCCTTATGAGGGAGGCAGACTAGTCCCATTTCATAGATCAGGAAACCAAAGCCAAGGAGCTTGAGTAGCTTCCCTAAGTGCTCATGGCTGACACCACGTGGCCCAAGAGTTAATCCTCAGGCCATCTGCCTCTAAAGATTGTGCCTTTTCCTCTGTACCATGATGTTTGGTTTCCCTGCCCACTATAAGCTGCTGTGAGCAGTGATGAGCTTCTTGTCCCTGGAAGTATTCAAGCACAGGGAAAAGTCCATCTCTCAGAGACGCTATGCTATGGTTCCTGCATTGGAAGGTTAGAAGAGAAGACTTTGAAGGTCTTCATCTTCTTCCAAATCTAGGGTTGGAGACTTCCGATGTAGTTTCTTACACTATAGAGGGGGTTCATCTATGCCCATGTGGAGATCTGGTGGTCAGTGTGTATATGTTAAAGATTTAATTGCACAATTAATTTATGATTACATTCTAAGAATAATCAAGGACAATACAAGGTGAATGCCTTGTCCATTTAAAATCTCCCATTTCCATTCTCCGCGTTGAAGTATTAGTTTGCCATGTAACTATCCAAGTATTTCCTGGGCATTAACAGAGAAATTTACATAAGGAAAACAGTTTTGTTATTTTCCACATAAACTGGACAATTCTTTTTTTTCTAATTAAACTACAAATTTAATGCAATTCTCCACCCAACAAATACACCAAATAGGATGGAGATTTTAAAAAAAATGACAGGATTTTCCAGAAAAAACTGAAATGTACTTAATGTACTTGTTTAGACAGGAGAATTCTAAAAAATAAGGATAGTGGGGTGAGATTAAACTGGATAATTCTTTACCAGTTGCTCAGCAATTTGATTTTTTAGCAGGATCAATATATCCTATGTGTGTTTTTTCAAAGCATGGTTACTGGAAGTAGGCTGCTAAATTTTACATCCCAACTTCATCGCTGTGTGTGACTTTGGGCAACTACTAAAATTCTTGTGCTTTAGTTTTCTCCCTGGTAAGATGGGTTTCCAAACAGCATGCACCTCCTTAGGGTCCCTGGGAAGTTTCATTGAGATATCACTGTGTAAAGTGCTACGGCACTACAGCTGACATTTCTAAGTCATCAGGACGTTGGTTGTTATGGAATTGCGTGTGCTGAGTACACGTACCAACCACAGCCACACACATGCCCTGTGGTTTTCCATGATGGCCACTTACATAGCTTCCAGGTTTCTGTCATCACAAACAGGGCTGCAGAGCTTTGCTTGTCTCTGTCCCTTTGGGCACAGGCACAAGTTTTTCTCTAGGATGGATCTGTCATATTGGAATTGCTGGATGGAGGATGATGCACGTTTTCATTTGAAAAGATCTGCCAGATTGCCCTCCAAAAATGGAGTGCCAACTCATGCTTCTGCCAAAACTAGATGAGGCTGTTTCCCCACACGGCTGCCAGCCCTGGGGATTATCAGTCATTTTAATTTTTTCCCATCAGATCGGCAGATGCTCTATCTCACCATTGTTTAGCTTGCATTTCTCCAATTACTCCTGACACAGAGGATCTTTTCATATGTTTAATGGCCCTTTGAATTTCTTCTGTGGATTGTCCATTCCCGTCCATTGTCCATTTTCTGCTTAGATGTCTCCTTTCTTACCGACGTGTCAATTCTTCCGGCAACTAAATTGAGCTTCAGTTATGTCTTTTCAGCTTCTCAGGTTTTCTACTGGGATTTTTATTTTTATTTAAGTGGGTACTCTTTTCATTTATAGGTTCTTTAAAAAAATAATAGCCCATTTTTTTTTTTTTTAAGATTTATTCATTTATTTTGAGGGACATAGAGAGGGAGAGAGTGAGCACATGTTGGGTCAGAGGGGAAAGGGTTACGGAGTGTGGAGTCTGACACCGGGCTCCATCTCATGACCCTGAGATCATGACCTGAGCGGAAACCAAGAGTCCGATGCTTAATGGGCTGTCCCGCCCAGGTGCCCCATAAATAATAGCCCATTCTTATTTCACAGGTGATTTATCTTCTTATTCCACTGAGGAAATGAATACCCATCCCTCAAAGGCTCTTTCCATTTGTTTTTATAAACTTGATGTTCTCTTGGGGGGTCGGTTCTGTTGTTAAGTTTGGCATCTTTCTTGTATGGGTATGATTTTCCATAAGTATGTACACATTTTGAGTTATGAGTTAGTGTCTGAACTTTGAATTTCCTACTTATCCATCAATGGATATAGTCCTTGTTTCCCGAATCTATTCTCTCTATGCTGTAAGGGCTGCTGCTGACAATGAGTAACTCATCTTTCTGACATAGAAAGTCTGAGATTTTGTGGACTCTTTGGCCTCCCAATGGAGGGCGGTGCCTCTCCTCACTTCCGGTCCACCCCTCCTCACTTCCGGTCCGCCCCTCCTCACTTCCGGTCTGCTGAGGCAAAGACATCTGCAGCCTGGAGCTCCCCAGCCTGTCCCTCTGACACTTGCTCCAGCCCTTGCCTCACCTTCTCTCCTCTGACAATCTCATCCTGTAGGTCTTTTGGGTTTCAAGTACTCTTTAATACCAATCTTTGTTGATGGCCTTCCTTCTTATTTTCCCATACTGAATTTATTTCCATTTTCCCAATATGGCTCTATTTCTTTTTTAAAAGCAGATTTTTTTTTTCTGTCATTTCTATAAATTTGAGTGAGGAGGAGGCAGATACATATTCATAGACTTTCTATCTTGAACTGGCCTCTCTCTGGTGGATGTTTATTTCCCTTGCTTGATTACAAGTAATTCTTCCCTTTTGTTTTTTCTTTTAGGAGGAAATTATCACTGTTTCAGGGGGAGAGCTGCTGCAGGAACCCTGTGGACAGAGGGACAGCCCACCAGACTACCATCTGTTGTTTGAGTGATTTTTTTTCCCCCTACCCAATTGGATTTCTTTGGGTACCCATTTTTTGAACTCAACTTAAGAACTTCCTGGCTCAAATCCTTATGGCCTTCCGGAAGATCCACCACCACCAGCCAGAGGATTAAGTAGATTAGTATGTCTCAAAGGAAATGAAATATACATGCTATTGGTCCCCATCCGTGTGCCGAGGACAGAAATTGCTATTAGCTGATGCAGCTCTTTCAAGAAGAGTTTAGTTATGACCTCAGAGAATGAAGCCTATTTGCCATGGCCACCCTAAGCTGAGCCCCCAGAGCACATGGGTCATGTTTTAATAATCCAAAATAATTCCAGTGCCGAACTCTGAATGTAACCTGTGGTAGACATTCAATAAATGTTTGCGGAATGAATACAGCTCTTCTGAAAGTCTTCCAACACTAATCAGTTTTTTCTAGTAAGTTATTTCCTACCTGTTCTGTCTATAAATTCATGGAGAGTATAGACGAAATATTGCAAAGGATTTATATGGAAAATATAGATGCTGCGTCTTTTATGATGTACATTATTGCCCTCATATCATTGGAATAATTACCTAAGGCTTCTGAGACGCAGCTTCCAGAATAGGCAGCTGATACTGCCCTGCCTTCTTTATTTGCCTCTTCTTCGGCCACCCATCCTTGGTCTTGGAACATATTTTGACCCTGGTTTTGTGATATTGAGGCAGTGGTTTTGTGTATTCCCATAGATGTGCCCCAAACCTGGGATGAATTATAAATCCAAGAAAGCCTTTGCTCTCTAGGATTTGGCCCTCTTGATACAGGTTACCCGTATGATTACTTCTGCCTTCATGGTCCTTTTGGGTCTGATCCTGTGTTCACTTCATCTGAGTATGGTTTTCATATGAGTGAGATTCTCCCAGTGACTCTTCTGTAACTTTCAGGGAAGTGTCTTCATGCATATTCAGGTTCTCATGTTTATAGACACAGAGACAGCATGTTATGGGGGGGGAATATTATAGTGGAATCAAGCAGATTTGTGTTTAACTCCCCACCCTGGACTTGCTAGTATTTTAATGTTGGCAGCACCATATTTGGTGGGAGTGAAAGGATGGATGGGCTCTGTGCTTTGTCAGTGGACAGATGTACCTTACTTGATAGTCATTTCCCACATCTCTTATGCTCTCCTTCACCTGCTGCTTCCTCTACTCTTCACGTCCTTGGCCACTTGCTTCACCCTGGTCACTACCACTGCAAGTCGTTCTGCATAGATGCTGTTCTCCCTTATGGGGTATGTCAGCTTCATGTGAGCTGAGCCAAAGCCACCTTGCCCATGGGGTGCTTTGGGCCCCTCATCTCCTATTGCTGCAGATGCCGAAGACATTGTGCAACCTTCAAGAGCAGGGCCATGAACTCTGCATATGGTGAACCTTGGATCAATGGGGGACAGCAGATGGTAGATTTCTTCTTCCCCTTTCCTCCTGCTGGGGGGCTGTTTGGACAGGCAGTTCTTCCGACGACCTCTGGGAAGATTGACCTGCAAGACAGAGCAACTCATGATGATGAAATCGAAGAGTGACCAGATGAGGTCCACCCCCCTCCCATCTGCCCCTCGTCCTCCTCTGCTCCCCTCTCCTGCTCCCCTGGGCTGGCCACCCCTGAATTGAGTGGCAGCATATAGGCATTTGCTGCAGGCTCTGCCTTTGAGGGAAGCCAAGGTAAGGACTCATCATCCAAATGTGTCCGATAATGTCAGTCTCCCAGCCTGACTTCTCTCTTGCTCTCTCCCAGGGCCCCCGAATGAATAAAACAAAGTGAAGGGGGGAGCCTGCTTCTTGAACACCAAATTACTTGAAAACCATAACCGATTATGGTTAGATTTTCTTCTAATAGATACTTCTATTCTAGTATCTCCCAAGGAAATGAGTTTTAGCCTTTCTACTTACAAACTATGTGACTCTGTTCAAGACATTTGGCCTCATGAAGGCTCAGTCTCCCCGAGAAGAGGATTTTCTGTGTGGCTGCCACTAGTTTTTTGTTTTTTTGTGGTTTTTTTTTTTTTTTTTTTTTTTGTCGGTCAGTGAAATGAGCAGTAATGAAAGCTCCGTATAAATGGGAGGGATGGCTGATAAGAACCACAGAAAGAGCAACAATTATTTCGGGCTTAGCAGTGACGTGGCAGGGGAATATGGTGTGATGATTTTCAAGGTGTTGGAAGAAACTTCTTATTCCAAGCACTAGCAGCCGCTCACAGAGCCGAGCAAGCCGGGCTGAGAATCTGAACCCCTGAGCTGTTGTTCCTGTCACCCCTAATTAATATGTTAGAGACAACAGTTGAGTTTTCTATGCTTAACACATTTATTTCATTTTATTTGGGGCCTGCACTTTTCTGCGTGTCTCATATATTTTAGGTTTTACCTGGCCTTAAAATAAATTCCTTGTAAGTTGTCCTGCAAATGAAATTACTGTCTGGAAAACTGCAATTTCATCTTGAGAGTTTTATTATGCTAATAAATGTCAGGATTCTCAAATAAAGGGATTGCCTTTTTTTTTTCCCTGAGCCCTACAAATATAATGAAAAATAGTCAGTCAGCTACAAGACTCAGCAGAGAGAAAATTTACAGTCTAGAACTAGAAAGAGAAGTTGTAAAAAATACTATGCAAGTTAATGGAAGATAAATGTCACTGAACGGAAGGGCAACTTGGGGTCCTGGGCAGGGAGAGCCCTGAGTGGCAGAGCTGGAGAGCTGGACACCTGGGGTGCCAGGGTCTAAGGGGCACGGGCTGCAAAGTGGCTCCTCAGGGTTAGAATGGAGCCCTGGACAGGAAGACCCCCGTTCCTGGAGAGTGCAGGCCCTTCTGTACCCTTGAACCCTTCATTAACCTCAGGACTCAATTTGGAGCCAGAAGGACCTTTGTTTTGTGACCCTAGGCAAGTGTTTTCAGTTCTCTGGGTCACACTTTCTTCTATGAAATGGGGTCAACCATGCCTATCTCAGACGGTGGCTGAAAAAATGGAACCATGTGGGGGTGCACTAGAAAATCCACATATAACTTTTGACTCCCCCCAAAACTTAACTACTGATAGCCTACTGTTAGCAAAAGCCTTACTGATAACATGAACAGTCAATTAATACCTACTTTGTATGTCATATATACTACACACTGTATTCTTACAATAAGGTAAGTTAGAGAAGAGAAAATGTTATTAAGAAAATCATACTGAAGAGAAAATACATCTACAGTACTGTACCATATTAATTGGAAAAAAGTCCACATCTAAGTGGACCTGCACAGTTCAAACCCACGTTTTTCAAGGGTCAACTGTCACATAATGTGAGATTTTGTAATAGTAGTGACGAATACTGTTTAAGCTGTGTGTATGTGGGTGTGTATGTGGGTGTGGATAGTCATTCTTACAGTCATGCCAAGGGAGCCTCTCCACCTTGTGCATGGGGAAACTGAGGCATAGGGAAGTTTAGAACTTAAAATGCAGATTCTCCTTTAGTGGCTCTGGGGTGGGGCTGAAGATTCTGTATTTCTTTTCTTTTCTTTCTTTTTATTTTAGATTTTATCTATTTATTTGACAGAGAAAAAGAGCACAAACAGGGGAGCAGCAGAGGAAGAGGGAAAAGCAGGCTTCCCGCTGAGGAGGGAAGGTGGGGCTCAATCTCAGGACCCTGGGATCATGATCTGAACCCAAGGCAGATGATTAACCATCTGAGCTACCCAGGTGCCCCAGAGGTTCTGGATTTCTAACAGGCTCCCTGGTGCTGCTGATGCTGCTGGCCTGTCTGCCACACTTTGAAATGCAAGCTTCGAAAGCTGGGTGAGGCAAACTCTAGCCACCGGCCAAATTCAGCCGGCTGCCCTGTCTTCTACAGCCTGAGGGCCAAGAGTGGTTTTTCCATTTTTAGCTGGCTGGAAAAAATTAAAAAGAATAATATTTTATGACCTGTGAAAATTATATTACATTCAAATTTCAGCACTCATAAAGTAAGTTTTATTGGCATATAGCCACGCTCATTTGTTGACACCAAGTCGTTGGCTGTGTAGGGCCTGCAAAAGCCTAAAATATTTACTCTCTGGCCCTTTACAGAAAAAGCTTGCTGACCCTGGTTTTAAATTACGTGCATATGTTAGGAATTATTTTGCCGTCTTGCTCTGCTTGATCTAAATCTACTCTTAGGAGAGATTCTAACACCATATTTACACTTCAGAGAAGCTGAAGTGAATGTGTTACATTCTGGTAGTGTTCCCATTTTAAATATGATACATCTCATCCCCTCTCAAGTAACCAAATAGGAGGCTCTTTTATTTTTTTTTTTTTTTGGTCAGAAGATTTTAACCCAATGCAAGCTGGTCCTATCACAGTTATACAGATACTTTAGATGAGCATAGAGTCATTTGCTTTCTAGAACTTACCATGCATCCTGCACTTAACTGTGTATGTATCTGTTTTGCCATTTCAATCTACAAGTTCCCGGAGGTCTGACGATGCCATATTTACTGGTGTGTTTTATCACGCGTGGAGCAGTGGATGTTGTTGAGTTGTGTTTGTTAGAGATTAGGGACAAATGGACTTCGCAGGTTTCAAAGACGTGATTTACCCTTTACAGGAGCCCTGTAGCTGAAAAGCCCAGGCTGAGCATTATGGCTGCTTTGGGTTGAAATCTCGAATCCATCCCTTTCAGTCCTCAAGCAGAACAGAGAAACAAACAAGCCAAGGAGACTGAAGACGCCCAAGGTAACTCTGCTACCAGCAAGCGTGAGATGGGCGCTCTGAGAACTGAAACAGAAATCCCGTCTTGGCAAAGCTCTTCTATGACTCGCAAAACAGACAGCGAAGCCAGAGCAGGCAACAGACACTGAGCTCGAACTCTCCTGGCCAGTTTGCACAGACCCATGGGTTCTCGGAGGACATCGAATGAGCTAGTCTGGCAGTAACTCTGCAGGACTGGTTTTTATTGTGGGAAAATCTATGTAATATAAAATGGACCGTTTTAATGCAATTGTCGCCACCACTCGTCCATGGAACCCTTGCAGAACTGACCCTCCATACCCATTAAACAATAGCTCCCCATTCTCCCATCCCTCTGGCTCCCAGAAATCAGCATTCAGCTTTCTGTCTGTATTAATTTGATAACTCCACGTTGCTTATTTCAGTGAAATCATTTCCCTATTCGGCTTTTTGTCACTTAGCATGTTTTTTCAAGGTTCACCCAAGTTGTAGCATGTGTAGGAATTGTCTTTCTTTTTAAGGCCGAATAATAGCCCCTTGTGGGTGTACACAGCATTTTCTTTATCCATGGGTCCATCAGTGGGCACTGGCGTTGCTTCTGCCTTTTGGCTCTTGGGTATAATCACGCTGTGAA